CCTCCTGTCCTTCTAGGGCTCTGCAAAGGACAGGCCTTCAGACTGGAGCACCCTTTCTCTCCTGGTTAGAGGTCAGTCCCTTCTTGGGGAAGCCTTCCCTGAACACAAGTGTGCTTCAGGTTCCGCTTCTTATGTGTTCTCAAGTACCCCGCTGTTCCCCTGCAAGATGAAATGAGAGCAGAACCCAGATGGTGTCACTGGCCTTAGTGAATCACCCAGCGCTGGATCTAGTGAGCTCAATGAATAGCACAGATTTAAGAACCAAGTGGCTTATTAGCATCTAAATTTTAAAATAATTATCCATGAATGTATGGATTATTTCTGGACTCTCAATTTTATTCCCTTGCTTTACACGTCAGTCCCACACTGTCTTAATTACTGTAGTTTTGTGGTAAGTATAAGTCCTCCAAATGTTTTTTCCCCCAAGACTATTTTCACTATTTTGGTTCCCTTGCATTTCCATATGAATTTTAGAATCAGTTTGCCAATTTCTAAAAAAACAACAACACTAACAAACAAAACCTTCCAACAAAAACACTCTGGGATTTTGATTTTGATTATATTGAATATGCAGATCAATTTGGGGAGTATTGACAATAGTAAGACTTTTTACCTATGAATAGGGATGTCCATTATTTATATCTTCCTGAATTTCTTTCAACAATCTTTTGTAGTTCTCAATGTATAAATCCTGTACTTCTTTTGTTAAATTTATTCTTTTTTTAAAAGATTTTATTTTATTTTATATTTTATTGATTTTTTTACAGAGAGGAAGTGACAGGGTTAGAGAGGTAGAAACATCGATGAGAGAGAAACATCAACCAGCTGCCTCCTGCACACCCCACACCAAGAATGTGCCCACAACCAATGTAAATGCCCTTGACCAGAATCGAACCCTGGGACCTTTCAGTCTGCAGACCGACCTTTTATCCACTGAGCCAAACTGGTTTCGGCTTAAATTTATTCTTAAGTATTTTATTCTTTTGGGCATTATTGTAAATGTGATCATTTCCTTAATTTCATTTCCGGGTTGTTCCCTGCTAATGTATAGAAATACAAGCAATTTTTGTGTATTGCTCCTGTATCCTATCACATTGCTGAATTTGTATATTAGTTTTAAAAAGTTTTTTTTTTTTAATTTCCTTAGGATATACTACATATAAAACCCCATGTCATTTGCAAATAGAGATTGTTTTACTCCTTACTTTCTAATCTGAATTCTTTGCTCTCTTGAGTGATTGCAGAGCCTATAGCAGATACCCTTGCTTGTTCTTGATCTTACAAGGAAAGCACTGAATTTTCTTCTGTTAAGTTGGAGGTTAGCTGCGGGCTTTTTACGGATGTTCTTTATTGGGTTGAGAAAGTTTCCTTCTATTGCTGATAGCTTTTACCATGAGAGGGTGTTGAAATTTGCAAATGCTTTTTCTCTATTTGAGATGAACATGTGGGTTTTGTCCTTTGTTCTATTAATATGGTGTATTACATTGATTTATTTCCAGATATTAAGCTAACCAATCCTGGAATGAATTTCATTTGCTCTTTATGAATACTCCTTTTTATACATTGCTGGATTTGTTCTGCTACTATTCTGTTGATGATTTTTTTTTTTTCGGTCGACGATTTTTGCATGTATATTCAGAAGGGATACTGGTTTGTAGTGTCCTTGCCATATCATTAGTTTGGTATCAGGGTAATACTGTTCTCACAGAATGAGTTGGGAAGTGTCCCTTCCCCTTCTATTTTCTGAAGGAGTTTGTGAAAGATTGGTATTAATAAAAAATTATTAAGAAAATTTTCAAATGGCCCAAAATAGTGCAAATAGTATAATTTATGAATCCCCATGCATCCTTCATCTCAGTTTCAATAATTATCAATATTCTACCACTCTTGTTTCACCTGTACTAATGCCTGATTCTTTGGAGGGTGAAATTACTTTAAAGAAAAAGACTTCATTATAAATATTTGTAAAATATATACCTCTAATGGACTTCTTTTTTTTTCAATATAACAAAAATTTAATTGTTTCATTTAACAAAATTAGCAGTAATTCCTAATGTTACCTAATACCCGGTCTATGTTCAAATTTCTCCAAATTTAAAAAAATAATTTTTAGAATTACTATGAATCAAGATCCAAGGAAAGTCCAACACTGTATTTAGTTGATATGGCTTTTATTAACAGTCCTCTCTTTCCCTTTCTCCCCAATGCCATTCATTTATTTGATGGGAGGAAAAAAACAAGGTCAATTTATTGTGTAAAAATTTTTCATGTTCTTCATGTGTCTGTTTAACTCGTTCTTCTATCCCTTATGCTTCTCTGAAACTGAAGCTTGAAGGTTTGATGTACATTCAGATTGCTGTGAACTTACGTATAGAAGGCACAATGTCTGGCTGTACTACTTTCAGGGTTAAGATTGATCTGGGGTTTCAGGTGTTATCAGTCTGATCCATCTATTATAAAATTCCTCATCAACCTTTTATCTAATGGTTTTAGCAACTACTGACAATGTGTATGACGAAGTTTGCAACATGGTGATTTTCTAATTCTTCCACTTCCTCCATGGATAGGATTTTTTTTTTTTTACCTTTATAATTCTAGACTCAGGTCTATGATTCCAAAATTAGGATGGCACAGCCTTCAGATGCCAATTGTGGGAGCTCTGGGGTGTTTTTGCTTGTCATAGTGTCTGGAGAGTCCTCGAGGCATTAATAGACAGAGACCAGATGCTGCCTGCTCTACAATTCACAGTAGAATCCCACATAACAAAGAATGTACTGCATCAAGTCTTTGAAAGACTTGTTAGACATTAAAGGAGATGTAAAGCCTACATAAATTATCTCAGTCTAAGACTATTTTATACATGAACACAGTATTTTTCATACTGGTCTAATATAAAATTTTCCAGGCCTATAAATGATGTTATCAAGAAACATTGTCTATCCATTATTTTGTTTGCCATTCTCCTAAGGGCTGTTCACCATTTCAGAAAAGTCATGTTAGCAATAGCAACACAGTTTATATACTCGAGTTGCTGACATGACTCATCTGTATGTGCCAGCTTTTGTTGCTGTCAAATTCAAGATAATTCCACATACAAGAGCAAATATCTATGTTTTCCAGTGAAGTCTTGCTCAGGCATCTAAACAATGAAATACACGTTATCTTATTATTAACCAGAGGCCCAGTGCATGAAATTCATGAGGGGGGGGGGGAGGAAGGGGTCCCTTAGCCAAGCCTGCACCCTTTCTGGGACCGCTGGCTACTAACTGCTCGCCTGCCTGCCTCATTACCCCTAACTGCTCACCTGCCTGCATGATTGCCCCTAACCACTGGTTTGCCTGCCAGATCGCCCCCAATTGCTTGCTTCCTGATCACTCCTAACTGCTTGCCTGCCTGATCGTTCTTAACTGCCTCTCTCTGCCTTGGCCCCTAGCTATGGCTTCAACCGGAAGGATGTCCAATGATATCAAGAAGGTCTGGTCTAATTAGCATATTATGTTTTTATTATTATAGATTACTCTCTTTATTTCTCATATTATAGTTAGGATTTTACACCAATTCAATTTGAAACTGAACATCTGGTAAGTAACAACATTTATGAATTCCATTTTGAGAGAGTAAAGGAGATTTCACAGAATATTTATTTTGAAATGAGCAGTGAGTCCAAAATAACTGAGAATTATTATCTACTTAAGGTCTAAAAATCTTCTCCAATTTGCTGCCTAGGCTTTATTCTGAAATCTTGCCACTATATTCTGGTTACATCACAGCCAGAGCATTGTGCTGGGTGTGAGGATACCTGGACCCCAGCCCTGCCTCTGTCTCTTTTTTAATGGCTTATGACCTTATAAAGGTTACCTTACCTCTATCCCTGTCTGTAAAATAACCAGCTGAAACCGGTTTGGCTCAGTGGATAGAGCGCTGGCCTACGGACTGAAAGGTCCCAAGTTCGATTCAGGTCAAGGGCATGTACTTTGGTGCGGGCACATCCCCAGTAGGGGGTGTGTAAGAGGCAACTGATCGATGATTCTGTCTCATCGATGTTTCTAACTCTCTATCCCTCTCTCTTCCTCTCTGTAAAAAATCAATAAAATATATATATATATTTTTAAATAAAGAATGTTAGACCAGACAAGCTGTTTCAGCCTCTCAACCATTTTTATTATTCTTTACTCTTCCACAGGACACAGTATTTCTGAAGATTGCTAAAGAGACTGCCAATTATTACTTATTATAATAATTAAATCAATTTCCTATAAAAAAACACTAATCAAAAGTATATCAATTGACAAACAGAATAAAATAACAATGACAGCACTTACTGAGTGTGTATTATGGCCTCGAAGTGAACCTTCCCCCACCCCTGCCAATCCCACCGTTGCCACTACATGGTGGATCCCAGATTGGAAAGTGCGTCTCCCTGGTCCTCCCTGGTCCTTCTCTCCTCCCCTGGAGCGTAAGCCTCCAGCCCTAAAGGCTGTTGTGCTCATCTGCAAAGACCTTGGACATGATTTGTTCACACACCATGCTGCTCTGGAAAAGTTCTGAAGTTGTCATCAAGGGGTCAGGGGACTCCAATAAAGTGAAATAGGTAAGACACTGGGACTACACCCTCTAGGGGACAGTACTCTATCTCTGCATTTTCCCAGAGAGCCCGTCCAGAGCCCTGCACACACAATGAACTCTGGAATCCATGACTGAAGCACCTCGGCAGCCACCTGGGAGTATTGAACACAAGCCCCATGAGCACTGACCCTTGGGCTGACCCAGAGGCTCTCTGTGGACTCTAGAAAGGGGCAGGCAGCCTTAAGACGCTGGGTAGTTAGCTGACTAGTGGCAGCGCAAGAACTCACTGCTCTGCTTATGTCTTCTATCTCCATACACTAAGGCTCTGACAATTCTGTTGAAGACACACAGGAGCCAGTGAGGAGGTCATGCAAGATGGTCATGGCTGGAATCCTTCTACAGAAGTGTGACTGCCCACTGGGGGCTCTACTCACCAGGAAGGAGGCCGGCTAATGTGTGGGTGCTGTGGGTGAATCTGGAGTGGGTCCACCTCTCTGGCAGTGGCAGGCGGAAACTCCCGTTGGGAACTGCTCACACTAGTCTTGTCCCAAGGCTCGTGAAGAGGTGTGATGATTTCAGACCCAATACGACACCGAAGTTCCTCACTGTTCCTGTAGGTCCTATAGGAGGTAGATGAGGTGTTAACTGCTTGTTGCTGGCTGGCAACCCTCAATACAGAATTTTGGTGGCTGCGGCGGCCTTGACAGCTCTTGAAAGTACGCTTAGACTGTTTGCAAGGGTGGGAATGGGCCGCCCAGCGGGCCTGGGTGAGGGGGGCAACAGCCCGAGGTTGTCTACGAGATTTGCGCCTAAGCTTCTTAGGCATCTGAGTTGTCCCTCCTCATTTACCACCCCATTAGAAAGCAGTGAGAGTGTAGGGGCACAGAGCCTGGACTGGCTACTCCTCTGTACCCACCCGATCCCATCCCATCCCACCCTCAATTATGTGTTCATCATGTGTCATGGGAAGGATCATGCAAGGCAAAGGCTCTGTGGGGAGGATAAATTTGGTTCCTGGTCCAAGTAGGCAGGGTTCTGGGGGCTCAAGGTCTAGTTCTGTCACTAACTCAGGGGCTTGCGGAAGGCTGCTCTGGGCCTCCCTTATCTGCCAATGAGAGAAGCAATGTGAGCTATAGATGAGGTATTGAGGCAGAGTTGGGTAACAGGTGTTTTAAAATAAGCCAGATGCTAGGTCAAAAAGCAAACCTCACAAATGTTAAAAACTGAAATAATATGTTTTCTGATCATATGGAATAATATTAAACATCAATACAGAAAGGAAGTCTCTAGATAGATGGAAATTAAGCAACATTAGCCTAGATAATTCATGAATCAAAGATGAAGTCTTGATAAAAATACAAAGCATTGAATAAAATAAAACATATTAAAATATGTGGGATATAGTTAAAGCTTCAATGAAGGGAAACTTCGTAGCATTAAATGCTTACATTGGAAAAAGGGGGAAAATCATAATAAATTTCAGAGGGAAGGTGGGGGTGAGGGGATAGGAGAAGAGATTAAGGAAAATTCTGTCTTAAGAACCTAGAAAAAGAAGATCAAATTAAACCCAAAGCAAGCAGAATAAAATAATAAAGAACATAAATCAATAAAACAGGAAAGTAGTAGAGGAAATTAATTAAAAAGCTGGTTCTTAAAAAAATGAATAAAATTGATAAACCTACTGCAAGACAGGCAAGCATAAAAAGAGAAGACACAAATCATCCGTATCAAGAAAGAAATGAGATTTACAACAGCTTGTTGCTAATGAAAGAATAATGAGAGACTATTAAGAAAACTTAATTCAACAATTTAGACCAATTCTTTAATACCACAAACTGTAACAACTCAGCCAAAATGAAATAGATAATCTGAATACAGCAACTAAATTCATACTTAAGCACCCCCCAAAAAAATCTCCAGGTCCAGATTATTTCAATGGATAATTCTAAACATTTAAAGAATTAATATATTTTTTAAAAAGAACATCAATTTATAGTCACTCCCAGAAAAATACAAGAGGAGGAAACATATCCCAACTCATTTTATGAGGCCAATAATACCCTGATATCAAAATCAGACAATGAGTACAAAAAAGGAAACTACTGACCAGTATTTCCTATGAACTTGGATGCAAAAAACGCTCAACAAAATATTAACAAACTGAATTTAAAAATATATAAAAAGAAATATACACCACAGGATTTATTGTAGGTATGCAAGACTGGTTCAATATTACCATATCGATAAGAAAAAATCAAATAATTATGTCAATTGATGCAGAAAAAAATATGACAAAAGACACACTATAGTAAATCTATTCATGAGGAAAACTCTCAACAAACTAGGAACAGAGGGGAACTTCCTCACTTTGATAAAGAGTATCTACAAAAAACCTATAGCTAACAATATATTTAATGATGAAAGTCGAATACTTTAGGAACAAGGCAAGAATATCCTCTCCTACTACTCTTATTTAGCATCATTCTGGAAGTTCTCATTTTTTCAATTTTGCAACTTAGAAATTCACACATGAAACCTATATGTGCATGTTGACCAATGTCAACCAGTAAAACTTAATATAAAAAAAACCCCACACTCAAACCTGAAAAAAAAATTAAGCAAGAAAAAGCACAAAGACTAGAAAACAAGAAATAAAACTGCCCCCATTTGCAGATGAAATGATAGTCTACCTTGAAATCCTAAAAGAATCTAACACCGTAAGTTCACCAAATATTCAATATACAAGGCAGCATATAAGATCAATACACAAAAATAAACAGCATTTCTATATACAAACAATGAACATTTGAAAACCAAAATTAAGAACTCCATTTACAATCACCTCTAATCCCTCCAAAAATAACAAAAACATGTTCAGATTCTATATGTTTAAAATTACAAAATGATGATGAAAGTAATCAATTTAAGATCTAAGTAAATGGAGACATACTACCCTGTTTCCCCGAAAATAAGACAGTGTCTTATATTAATTTTTGTTCCCAAAGATGCACTAGGTCTTATTTTCAGGGGGTGTCTTATTTTTCCATGAAGAATACGGTACACATTTATTGTTAAATAAAAATAAAGGAAATTTATTACCTGTATATGGTACGGTAGCACGGTAGTTGTCAACACAAACCAGACAAACTGTGAATCCTACAGTATCAAGAATTTACTCATTTATTCAATGACAATCATGCCATCATCTTCTGGAACATCATCCTCACAATTCAATTCCTGAATTTCCTGGTGAATTTCTTGTGACTCCATTTCTTTCAGAATCAGTGGACCAAATCTCTCATGTTTAGCCTAGGAGGGCCTTATTTTCGGGGAGATGCCTTATATTTCACTCAGAAGGAAACCTGTAAGTAGGTCTTATTTTCGGAGGATGTCTTATTTTCGGGGAAACACGGTATGTTCATCGTAAAAGTGTTAAATTTCCCCATCATAGGTTTAACGATCGATAGGTTTAATGCAAATTCTATCAAAATTCCAGCAAGTTTTTTTATAGTCACAAACTTATTCTAAAGTTTATACAGAAAGACACAGACCTTGGCATAACTAAAACTATCTTGACAAAGAAGTGAATGGAGAAATCATCCTTCTCAATATTAAGTTCTACTGTGTATCTATAATAATCAATATTGTGTGATAGGGGCAGAGGAATAGACACAAAGATCAATGGGGAAAAAACCCCCACAAAAAACCGGAATAGACCCACAAAAGTACAGACTACTGATTTTCAACAAAGTTGCAAAAGCAACTCCATGTAAGAGCAAATGGTGTTGAAACAATGATATACACAGACAAGAAATCTCACATCTTATACATAAATTAACTTATGCCCTGGCTGGGTGCTCATTTGGTTGGAGTGTCATCCCATACACCTAAAGGTTGCATGTTTGAATCCCAGTCAGGGCACATACCTAGGTTGCAAGTTTGATCCTCAGTCAGGGCATGCCCAGAAGACAACCAACTGATGTTTCTCTTTCTCTCTCCCCGCTCCCCCCCCCCCCCCCCCAGTCCCTCTCCTTTTCCCTCTAAAAATTAATAAAAACATTTCCCTCTAAAAATTAATAAAAAATTAATTTAAAATGAATCACAGACTTAAATGTAAAATTAAACTAGAATGTTTAGAGAAAATATTTGAGAATCTAGGGCTAGGCAAAGAATTCTTAAAACTTAACACAATAAAAGCAAAATTTGATAAAATAGATATTATTAGAATTCAAAATTTGTTTTGTAAAAGTCCCTGTAAAGAGAAAAAAAACACACACCACAGAATAAAGAAATTATAAATCCCCATCTAATAAAGGCCTTGCATCTGAAATATATACTTGTATAAGGAACTCTCAAAATTACAACAGTAAAAAAAAAAATTAGAAAATGGGCAAAAGACATTTTGCCAAAGAAGATTTACAAATGGTAAATATACACATGAAAAGATGTTCAACATCATTAGCCATTAGGAAAATGCAATATCCACCAGAGATATCACTACATATCCACCAGAATAACTAAAATGAAAAATAGTGATAATACCAAATGTTGGTGAAGATACAGAGATCATACATAAACTGATGATAGAAATGTAAAATGGTATTTGTACTCTGGAAAATTGTTTGGCAACTTCTTAAAAAACTAAACATGCAATTACCATTGTACTCTTGGGCACTTACTGCAGAGAAATAAAGTTTGTCCACACAAACTGTACATGAGTGTTCATAGAACCTTTATTTGTAATAGCAAAAAGCTGGAAATAACTCAGATGTCCTTCAACTAATGAATGATTAAACAAACTGGGTACATCCATACCACAAACATTACTCAATAGCACAAAGAAACTAACTATTGGTACATGCAACAACTCAGATGGATGAGAAAGTCAACCCCAAAAGCTTACATTCTGTATGATTCCATTTATATACGGATCTTTGAAATGAGAGAATTTTAGAAATGAAGAGTACATAATGGTTGCAGGAGCTAGGCACAGGGAGGAGGAGTGACTGTGGCTAAGAAAAGCATCAGGAGAGATCTATCCCGTGGTGGCTTGTATCACTGTATCCAAGTCAAATCCTGGTCATAAATGTCTAGTATAGTTTGTACAATGTTATCATTAAGGTAGAAGTATAAAGAACACAGTCTCTCTGTATTATTTCTTAAAAGTTTAATTAAAAATACATTTATTGTATAACCATTAAATAACGGAGGTTAGACTAGGTCAGTGGTTTCAAGTCTTCAGCAGAGCATAGAAGGGTGGTTCAGGGAGGGCAAGAGAAAAGCCAAGTGGATGGGGCATAAGGACCTCCATTTCCTGCTCTGCTCCCCTTTCCACCAGCGCAACTGCTTTAACCAGTTTAATATCAATCCTGAACACTGTGCTTGAAGGAAGAGTTACCGTTAGAAAGTGGTAATGCCCGCAACAGCGTGAAAGTGCCAAGGGCCTACAAAGAATAGGTTTCTACTTAGAACACAGAACTCTGGGGGCTTTAACTGCTTCGTTGACGAAGTTGGTTAGGAGGGATAAAGGAATCTAACTCCTCTTTCCTTTCCCATCAGATGAATGGTGTGTGATGCACTTAGAAGACCCCTGATATCCGTATGCGAAATGTTTGCATGT